GTACTGCCCAGCAAAGTCCCTGGGCTACACAGCACTGCAGGAAGCTGAGCCAGTGCTTCTCTGGAGGAAGGAGAATACAGCACTGCAATAAGGTAACAGGAAAAGGTGAATCCTGAAGAGTCCCACTGGCTGATGGCTCTTAAACCATCCCTGATGGATGCCAAACTCAGGGCTGTATCCTAGAGGTCCCCACAATGCAGAAAACTCTGGGTTTGACTCAAGAGTTGAGAGGCACAGAATTTATGGCTGGTTTGACCCATTTCAGATTTATCAGAGAGGCAAATGACTCTTGAGCATGACAAAAACACACATCCACACAGCTGAAAGTGCAATTTCCTCGGTCTACAAACTCCTTCCTTCTAACCACAGACTGGGCTGTCTCACCTGCCTCCCCAGGAAATACTGCCACAGTTGCAAGATCTCCAGTTCCTCATGTTTCATTACGATTGACTGCAGCGCATTTGCTGGTATAATATATTATGAAGGGTCATGAATAATTAAAAATTAATCACACTTGTCAAAATAAATAAATGCAGTCAGTCATGGAGAATGCTTGAATTTTTTATAGCGTCTTTTTGCTTATTCATGAAATAAAAGAAGTCTTGTAATCCACAATGGATTGCCTACTCATTGCAGCTTGTACAGGCCCCATTCAGATCCCAACAGAAGAGCTTTTCCTGTCAGTCTTTAGCACATCAGTGGAACTTTAACCTTACATCTCTGACCCTGCAGAAAGTTACATAACTCCAGCAGATCTTCAGAGACCTAGCTGGCAGATACACCAGTGACTATCTCACTCACTGGTCCACTTATAAGATGGTGGGGAACAGAGAAGAGTGAAGCATTTTAGCACAAATTTTAAAAAATCAAAACCTTGATAGCCTCCCTAATCTACATCTCTATAGGCAAACAGTCCAGCAGTTATTCCTACCAAATAATATTTTTGCATGGTTTGATAGCATTCTCAAGGCTTGAACAGAAGAGCAAGTAAGAGTAAACGTTTAAATAGCAACTTTTCTCTGACACTCTAAATTGGTCTAAAACTGTTAATGCATTTCTATCTTTTTTCAAAGGGAACCTAAGCCTGGGCTGGGAGGTGAGCCAGGAACACACCACCACACCAACCCTATCAGGCCAAGGAGCCATTAACTTCCAACATTTGGCTCTAAGAACAGACAGCTGGAAATAGAAAATGAAAAAGAATGTATGAACAGGGAGAGCAAACAGTTGTCCCTCACCACTCCTGGACTTCAGGGACTGCTCACATGAGGACTTTCTGGGCCAGAAAAGGTTCTATAGAGAATTTAGTAGCTGTAACTATTTCTCTTCCCTGCACATATCCTATCAATTTGCACAGCCACAGAAGGTTCCAGCAAAAATAATACCCTGGGAAGAACGTTCCACAGTTTCACTGTTTGTTAAATACTGAGGGATCTCCTTTTGTTTTGTCTGACATCTAATAATTTTGCTTGATGCTGTTCAATACCGTATTAGAAGAAGTATCAAATATTCCTTTTGTACTCATCCTTCCAGTGCTTTACCTTGGGAGTTTATAAACCTTTATACATATTTCATAAATTTCTGGTTTCTACACAACCCTGCATCTACTCCTTTAGATGCTTTATGCAGGCAGGGTAGCCCTTGTCAATTTAAGTGTTCCTAGAAGACAACCATTACATACTTTATCATATTTGTTTCCATTCTTTAAAAACTTTCCCAACTGTACTAAAATATTTTTGATGCGTGGAATCTAGAACAGAAGACTGAGTTCTAAATACAGCTGCCCCACACACTAATACTCTAGCATACTGTTCCTATTTTCCACTCCCTTCCCACTGAGCCCCCAAATCACATTTATTTTGTGACTGCTACTGAGGTGATGCTTTCACAGCTCTATTCTTACACTTAAATCAGCTTAAATGACAGTAACCAGCTCAGAATCTGTCTGCATATATGCCAAGTTCTGATTGTGTCTCCCACCACCTCAATTCAAATAACCTGCACTAAATTTTACCTGCCGCTATTAGCTGGTTAAGCATCCCTTTTAAATTCCTTGCAAACCAGACCTTCAATCTTTTACCCTGAATAATTTAATATCAAACTCTGCCACCTCACCATCTATTACTATCCAGAAGATCAATGATTTGTGTGACACTACTGCTGAACTTGCCAAGTGAGTGGATTGCTCAGCTGTGACTGTAACCAGATGCTGAGACACCAGGAGTTAGCTCTTCCTCTAGGAGGCTTAATCCATGCTGACTTCCTCTGATTTCATGACACTGAGCTGTATCATGCTGCTGGGACAGGAGCAAAAATACAGAAACTCTCCCAATGTGTCTCTTTGGGAGATGTACCAATGATTTTCTACTGAACATTTTACAGAAACTCGTGTGAAGCCTAATGAATCATACCAGAGGCATTTGTCTCTATCAATGTCTTGCCATGACTTGATAACCAAGTGACAAGGATGAGCTAAACCATCCCAAAATCTAGTTAAGCTATCTGTTTATTTCTGTGCATTACTGTCTGCAAAGGAGATGAAATGAGATTGAGATAATTGCAAGTACAATTTGCAGGAAACAGTGGGGGTTGGAACTACTGTGCTTAATTATTTCAGATTGAAACAGACCACACAACTATCTGTGCCAAACAGCTGTAATTAAAGTGATTTAAAATAGAGAGATGCTAGCTCAAAGTGTTGATTTCCAAATGAGTCTTTATACATGCAAGAGTTACAGTCATCGATGAGTTGCAGACCTACAGCTCCACTGAAAAAAAATTACCACTATGTCCAACATGCCTGGTAATTTTAAAAAACAAGCCCACACATACACAAGCAAATAAACCACACAAAATAATCTACACTAATGCCCCACAAATCTAAATGCACTCAATCAATTTGACACTAGTTACCTGCCCCTCAGAATATAAGAAAACAGCAGAACACAAGTTTCAGCCTAAATTGCCTATATTCCAGATGAGAGCTCCCAGCATTTGGGCTTAGAAATAGAGCTTTAACACAACAGGCAATTGGAAATCATCAACCAATACCACCTTTGGCTCTGGGCTGCAGGGCCAGTCAACAGTGCCCCCTTCTCCTGCTTTGATAGATATACAAAACTGAGTTAGACAAAGGTATAACTTTACTGGAAAGGATCCAAAAGAATCATATATTGACAACACATAGCACTATGGGGTCCTGGCCAGGCTCTTTACCTGGAACAATACATTTACTTCCTTGTGGGTTTTCCCCCCACTCCAGGAGAATGACAGCTGTTCTTTGCAATTCAAAACAAGGTTTTAACTCCTAAATTTCAGGGGCAGCCAGCTTGCACTAGAATTTAAGAAAAAGAAGAACAAAACAGAAATTCTGATTTACCTCAAACTTTCCCTGAGCTGTACCTTTGTAGGAAGCAATTCAGTCTGCGTGTGGATGTTTATTGATGCGGAAATTAGAAGATATTTGCATGCAGCACAAATGTGGTCCATCTGCTTTACACACGACACAGATCACACCACAATGACTTGGTCTGCTGATGAATCAATGGGCCTTAAAAGTTAATTTATAATGGCTATCTGGGGAAAAGTACTATACTATTGATATGGATGAGAAAATAGAATATGAATGAAAGCAGCACAGAAAATTTCCTCAATATTTGCCTGAACATAAGAACTGTCACAAGCAGCCAGACTGCAGCTCTGCAAAGTCAAATTCTGTCTCCAGCGCTGGCTCCTAAGAAAAGAATTCTTTCACTTGCAGCCTTTTGTGTAAGACTTCTTGACTCTAAACAGACTACTGAATTCAACATCCAGTGATGAATGTATTCTGCAAGAATTCATTTGATCTTTCTTTAAACTTACACACACTTCTGGCCCCACAACATTAATTCATGTATTTTATTAGCACCATTTATTCAGGTACTACATGAAAAATGTCTCAGCTTGCTTGTTCTAAACCCACGAGCCCACCAACTACACAGCTGCTTTCCAATGCTCTTCAATCTGCTTTTTAAAGACCTCTAACCCCTGCCATCAGGGATTGAATAGATAATCTTTATCTGTTTAGTTTTTCCTACTATGGAAACTGTTCCACATCCCTTGAAATTTTTGTCATCATTCCTGACACCTCTTTGTTCTCCTGGATAAAGTTTGTAGCTCTAACTCCCCCATCTTCATTTTTGTAGGTCCATTCTCATCAACTACACCTTCCAGAGAGAAGTTCCACACAGGTGTCACTAACAGCTGAAAGGATGTTAAGAATTTTTCTGCTTTCCCAGGATTAGAAGAGCACAAATATATCTAAAAATCTTTTCAGAACTTGAAATCGTAATGAAATATGCTGCTGTTCACAGATATGATCATAAGCAGGAAAAGAAATTCCAACAAACCACAGTTTTTTTCCAAGGGAAAAAAAACAGTCTGTTGCACTCCCATCTTTTGAGACCTCCTAGCTCTCTTTAGAGACAGGATCTTTTTTGTTATATTAAGGACAAAGCCCATCTTTGTTTTCTTAGCAAACAGAGAACCTAAGCCCTGGATGGAAGGATATTGCCTAAAATGGTCTGCAAACACACAAGTGGTAAACAGGACCTAGAGCAAAGATAAGGCCAGACTCTTCCAAACACTGAATGACCTTAAACATGGGCACCATAGTACAGTTTTCATCCAAATATCAGCCATGGCATGGGCCAGCCCAATTCAGATTTTACACAAGAGTGTATTTGATACTTTGCTTCTGAGATATATGATGGAGCTTGTGTTTAGGTGAAAACAGATCTCTCCTGCGCACAACAACCCCCTTTTGTTTGTCACTTCATTTTCACTCACTGTCTGTTGAGGAAAAGGGATTAGAGCTATCTTTAGCACTTCAGGGGGACATGTTTGTTTGGGCAGGGTTTTGGGGTTTTTCTGTTATGGTTATTTTAGGGGGTGGAAGCAAAGGTGTTTTTATTTTAAAACTAACCACTACTGATGGCATTGCACAGCTGTATTCATCTTACCTTTGGGTGTGCTCTCAGAGTGATCTGTCTCCGGCCCATCTGGGAGGTTTAGCTGTGAGATTTCCTCTGCATTCAGTCTGACCCAGGCATTGTTGGGGATTTCCTGATCTTTTGAGGTAAAGGAATATTCCAGCTCACAAGGAGATTCAAAGTTGCAGTCAAATACTGGAAAAACAAAATGTACACAAAACACACCAGGTTAATTAAATCTGATGTCTTCTGTGCTTGAAGATAGCTATTCATACACGTGCATGCACATTCATTTTGTACTTCAGTAAGTTAGGCCTTGATTTTTTTCCATAATGAGGTAAAAAGAAATAGGGAATTTAAGAAATAGAGAATTTTTGCCTGTGAACAGACAGGTAAAAATGGGCCTGAAATGGGCTGCATGGGGAGGTTCATTATGGAGGCAGCAGCAAATCAAAAGGAATGCCCAAGAGCCAGAAATTCCCCTTCAGGACAGGTGAAAGGGCAGCTCAGGCTAAAGTGGAGAAAGACATCATCTGGATTGAAAGGAAAATAGTCAATGGATGAAATGGGACAGAAAGCCAGTCTCTTCTGGGATGCTGCTTCAAATTCAACCAGGACCATTAGATTGCAAAGACTCCTCACTTAGGAGTTCCTGTTCACATCCCTGTTTCACCTCAGTGAGCACAGGTCTCTACAAAGAGAGTCATCCGTCCTGGGCATTTGGAATGTGCTGGAAGCCATAGGGACTGTACCCCAGGAGGTGACATTCTGATTCCCAGGGTTTGAAACTCTTTCCTGAGACAACAGAAGTAGCAAAAACCTGACTGCTGCTGCAGAACTTCAGCCTCCAGGCAGCACAGCCAGCAACTGCCTCCAACAGAGATTCCTCTCTTTGAGATGTTTCTCTAGAGAAACCCATTACCTTGCTGGTGCAACTATGATTCACTTCTCAATGTCCAGTTTACCATCCCACCATAATTCTGCTGCTTAACACAACATGCAGTGACAACCTGAAAGGATTTTACTTTGAATTGCCAAGATCATTAAATTTTCTGGAATGCCCAGTATACATTTGCTTTTGTCACCACAGTCAGCACTCAACACAATATTCAGTAAGAGAAAGAAATGGTTTTAGAACTAACTCAGTGTTTCTGAAGAGGCTAAAGTCCATTTGAAAAAGCCAAGGAAAAAAATTCAGCTGCTCCTTGGAGTATTCTGCACTGTCTTTCTGTCTTGCCATACAATGCAGGTGAAACAAATAATCTGAACCGACATTAGTGAAATTAACTGATTTTTTAAAACTTCAATTACATTCTTTGTTAAACATCTAATTTCTTCTTGTGGGCACAGATTTATGTAGTTCAGCCCATTCTCCTGGTGATAAAATATTTTCTAATCTGAAGGTTAATACTGTTGCCCTCCTGCTATACTTTTGCCAGCTAATTTCCCTTTTTAACAGCAAGCTGGAAGAAACAGAGTCTTTTTTCCAGTTTATATTTGATTTTCTTAACCAAGTGCTTTATCATTCACTCAGCATTTTAAATACTTCACAACACCAGGGAAACCATATAACATAAGGAGTCAATTTACAGCACAAGCAGCAGTAACAAGGATTATACTAATTTCCTTAAATCCAAATGCAAGGGCTCCTACTCTCTTCAGGCCCCTAAATTATCAATATAAATTTCATGATACATGAAGCACACTTCAATTTAGGCAGAGGGGAACTGTGGATATATTCATGCAGTTTACTACTGCAATATCATATCCAAACCTTAGACCATGTATTTCAATCCCCTTAGATGGTCTTAAAAACAAAAGCACAAAAAACAAACAAACAGAAAAAAAAAAACAAACAAAAACAAAACAAAAAAACACACCAAAAACAAACCCAAAAGAGCAAAAACCAAACTAAATATTTTTAAACTGAAGTGTTTGGAGTCTCTTAAACTTTGTACTTAATCCCAGATGGACAAAAGAGCAACCCAACACTGAACTATAGTTTACAGAACATATATTATCTTTAGTACTCACAGGGAACACTTTGAGCAGTGTGTGCTTTAAGGCACTGTCAAAAAAATTATGGAGGGGAGAAACACAGCTCATACAAGGATTTTTTTGATGGAACTCACTGAGTGACAAATGGGAAAGCCCAGGCCAAGGACCACACATGGCAAAAACAATCATTTAAAATCAACTATTTCATTCTTTGTGCACTTCTCTTCCCGATCAATCTCGTATTTTCTTCAGCTTTCCAGCAGTTGCTGCTGGCTTCCCCTCCTCTCCTGCCCAGCTGCTGGGAACAGAAGCCTTTGTGCTCTCTAACCCTCCTGACCCAAGCAGAGGGGCCCTTCATGGATATCCAAAGGCAATGTCATTCTCCTCTCCAGTCCCCCTGTCTGATTGTGGTGCCACAAGCACTCAATGGCCAGCTCTGCTCCCCACTTTGCTCTCCCTTTCCAGAATCCCCATCGCAAAAGAGAGCTATCAATCAGTTGTGGAGCCCTTAACACAGCAGGCCTCTGACCTACAACTGGTACAACTTAATTGGGGTAAGTGATTAAATACCAGGCACTGCTCATAACCAGTGCTGTGACCCCTGCAGACAGCTAAAGCCTCTGCCTGGAGCAGGGACAGTAAAGGAAGAAAAGGCAAGCAGCAGTGCCATTTCCTTCCCTTGCAATGAAAGGCCTGCAGAGAGTGGGCATGATCTGACATGCCTGCTGTGGTCACACTGAATGTCCTTCACTGCAGGCTGTTCCTTGGAAAAGAGGGAGACTTCGGCTCACACATCCCACAGTGTCTGTGATTCAGTGGAAACACACTTGCAACTTTTACACGATTCAATAATCCCCTCACATCACCAGAACATTGGTACTTTTTACAAGCTTCTATTTAAAATAGTCCTGTATCAGATACAAATTTCAGGGCTATTATCCTATTCAGTACAACAAAGAAATACTATCTGATGCAACACAGAAAAATCTATGCAAATAGCATCCAGTCTTCCAAGGCTAACATTAACTTCCTACCCTCAGGCTTTCCTTCTTCCACAATGTCCTTCACTATCGACAATGTAATATACCTCATAAAAAAAGAATTATATAATTTTTTTCACTGAGAAGCTGGTCTTGGTGTGTTAGCTATTACAAGATCACATAGGCCACACTTGCAAATACAAAACCTGCATAATACTTGAATTGCTGCCACAAATCACCTGCCATTTTTTACACCTCTGCATAAAAAAATAGTGCTTCTCTTTCCTTTTTCACTTTTGTCTTCACATTTAAAGGCTACACCAAGTTTATTGTTTCCTTTCCCAGTTAAGCACAGAAAGCAGTAGCCATGTGCCTTTGGAAGCTGGATAAAGGCCATTCTGCCTTTCTTTTTTTTTTAACTGAAAAACTAAACACTGCAGGAAAGGGAATTAAAATTAACACAACATCCAGTTGTTATTTTTTTAAACCCACTATCAATATAAATTATCTAGGTACAGAACTTCTGGACTTGAATACTGTGCCTAGTCAGTAAAGCGGGGCGATTTTTTTGTGACTTCTGATGATTTTCTAAAAGAGATGTCACAGAGATTTAAACCAAGTACAGGCATTTATGTCAGAATTATATTGACACTACAGATTATAAATGCTCTACAGGAATTTAAGGTCCATATAGAAAAAAACAGCAAAGTCTCTTCCTAAATAATGAATTAAAAAAAAACTAAAATAGAACAAACAACTCTTTGTCCAACAGTCTCTTTTATCTGCAACTGCTGGGCACGAGAGAGGCAGAACAGATAATTTATTAGAAGTCTATTTCATCATCATCATGCCTTTAAAGAAGAAACAAAAGTGATGCTTATAATCAAAATAAGATAAAAACCTGTTTAAGAAAGGCTGTAGATACAAATCAGTTCAGCTTTTGGTATGTAAAAAGATACAGAATATTAACCACAGACTGAAAAGCCAATTAAGCTACTATTCAATTCAAAAGACACTGGAATATGTGTACGTCTGATTATGTTAGAGTCTTGTGAGTGTCTCAATTTATTTATTTTTTACCAACATACCTAACAATAATAATTTGTACACAGATAACTAAAATATCTGGCAACCACATCTGTTCCAATTAAACTGATTAGAGTTTTCTAATAAACAAATGCCTTAAAATAGTACTGTAAGTAATACACCAAAGCACAGAAATCAGTGAGAAGTATTCTTTTACATTGCAGCAGGTCAGATTATGGATCATTCACTTCTGGGCCATCTTGGATCATTTGTGTAACCACACACCACAGAAATATACCTTATTTGGAACCAAACAACCCAACATTAAGAGATAGATTTTAAAAACCCTGTTCTTGTTAAGAAACTACTCTGATTATCTTTTCTTCAGCTACACCACAAAAGATTAGGTTTATTTGAGCTAAACCACATCTCCTTTCAAACATAAAAATCTTACCAGCAGGTAGTTTCCTCTTAGACTGCTCCTTTCTAGTTCTACAGGTGTCTGACTTTAAAAGCTCCTTTTCCCTCCTGGTCTGCTGACTCTTAAAAATCACTCCTCAATTACTCTCAGCTGGGAACACTTTTGGGAACCTCAAAGGGTGTGGTTGCTTTCTCACTGCTCTACCACAGCCAAGGGAGCAGGGAGAGGTTTTCTGTTCTCAGCAAGACCAACCTAGTGAGGAACATCCTCACTGGCACCTCATCAGCCTGCACATGACTAATTTCTACTCCATCTACAGCCAAATGCACAATGTAAAGGTCACTCACACTGATCAAGTCCAGACCACAATCTCCCTCAAGAACTCCTTCAGCAGCAACAATCACAGCAGCAGTGTAGAAACAGAGAATATTCTTGCACAGGATGTCTTTTTTCAATACAAATATTGACAGATATTCCTTGTGGAGGAGACATAATTTAAATTGTGTAGTAGAGATCTGCTCTGCTGAGTGAGCTTTGAGACCTCCATCAATACCCACTAACCTCTATTTTACTCATGTTATAAGGCCTATAAGCTTTTAATTTATGACAGGGAAATGACAAATTGATTTTCCAGTTATTAATCCTAGTGACAGAGCCAGTTCCTAAAGCCTTCCCATTACCTCTGAGTACAAAAGGGCACAGGGCATTCAATCTAAGGGCTTCAATTGCCTCATCAGGCCTTGCTGAATTTCTATTCACCAAACCAGGTT